GGCTGCTGCTGCTGGTTGATTTTCAGAAAGCTTACGATTCGGTATCACGTGAATACCTCTTCGCGACATTGGGCAACATGGGTTTCCCGGAGAAGTTCACGAGATGGGTAAAGGGTCTCCACGATGGAGCGGCAACCAGGGTACTGTTGAACGGTTGGATTGGGGAGCGAGTAGAGATGGCCAAAGGGGTGCGCCGGGGCTGCCCGCTCGCCCCGTATCTCTTCCTCTGCGCGGTTGAGCCTCTCTGCCAAGAAATTCAACGGAGGAAACTGGGGGTCAGGAAGAGAGGGGTGAAAGGGAGCTTAGACTACATTGGATATGCAGACGACACGACGCTGGTCTTGAAGGGCAAAGAGCAGGTGGCGGTTGCTGAGAAACTGCTGGGGGAGTTCGCGGCAATCTCAGGACTGAAGGTGAACCGGGATAAGACAACATTGATGCCGCTCGGGAAAAATCGAAGGAGGCTGCAGCCGATAGCGTCGTCTTTCAAGTGGGCGGCGAAGAACACATCTGAAAGGCTGCTCGGAATCTGGATCACCTCTGGAGGCTCGCCGGGACCTGCATGGGACAAGGCTTTCGAGAAGGTTAGCGCGGTGCTGAGTTGCTGGGAGACTAAGCATCTCAAAACCTCGGCACGGGTGACCATCATAAACAGCTACGCGATGCCGATTTTGCTCTTCCAGGCGCAGATCTACGCCCCACCGTACGAGGTCTGGACCAAAGTGAAGAGGCTCTGTCATAATTTCATCTCCGGTGGGAAAGCGCTCCTTGATCGACACTTCACGCTATGGAGCTATGAACTGTCGTGCAGAGGACGGAAGGAGGGGGGCTTGGGGGTGATTGATCTGAAACACCGGATTGACAGCATGGTGATCCAAGGACTGGGAAAGGCCCTGGTGGAACAGGAGCCACTTCGAAACTGGTTATGGGAGAGGGCGGCGGCTTTCCCCATTGGCCTGGCCACGGTTTACGCGCACCCTTCGGTCCTGAAGTCCTGGCTGGGAGGGGGCACGAGATGGAAGGCCACTATTAAGGCACTGTGGGACTCAAAACTTGTGGATATAGGCGATCCGGCTCACAGATGGGACGCAGAGGAGGAGCAGTTACTTTTCAACCGCAGTATTTTCTTCAGAGGCAGATCACCCCTCGGCAACCAGGCGGGCTCGCTCTGTCTGAAGGGCATCCGACTGGGGGATTTGGTGGTGAAAGGAGGAGACGGCAGCAGAGCTCGTAAGAGCGATGAGGTTCTGGAGAGGGAACTGGGAGGCGTGGAGCAGAGGAAATGGGCCCTGAAGGCGTGGCAGGCGACACCGCAGAGATGGAAGGATATGGTGCTCAACCAGCTGTCGGCGGATGAACTCTTCAGGGAAACGAGTTTGGTCCGCTCTGCGTCTTACCGCCCGGGGGAGTTCTTTTATTATCAGCTGCAATATGTGAGCAACGGCGAACTTTACGGTCGAAGAGTGACGGTGGACAAGAAAGGGAACATAGGCGAAGTGGAATATGCTAGCGTGGTATCGGTGGAATTTCGGCGCGCTTCACCCATGGCAGTCATAGATGGAAGGGCCCGCGGTTTACTCGGCGCTCCAAGAACGCGACTGCTCTATTCTGCAATCTGTGAGAAAGGCGAGCGGGCGGATCTAAAGAAGTTGAGGAAGGCGATGAAACCCTCGCTGGCGCAACCGAAACAGCAGCTGAAGTGGGAGGAGGAATTGGGGAGGAAGATCGGCTGGGGGAAGGCTATCACGGTCCGTGACTCACTGGCAACCCCATGCAAGGCGCGAGAGGTGATACTGAGGGTGCACAGTAACAACCTCCAAGTAGGGGAGCGGCTCCCCTTCTTGGGTGCGAGGGCGAAATGCACGCACTGTGGCGGAGTTGAGTCGCAAGATCACTGCCTTTTCAGCTGCCCGGTGATCCAACCTGTGGTGGAGGTGATGAGGAAAGCGGTTCAGTGTATGAACCCGGGCAGGGACATGCGATCTCTCGGGGACATGCTCTTCCAAAGGAGTGGCACGTCGACTGGCTTCCCAGAGGCTGCAATCATATCCATAACAGCGCATCAAGTCTGGCTGGAGAGGTGCAATGCGGTTTTCCGTGGTAGCCGGTTCCAACCAAAGAGAGCATTGAGACGCATGGCAGTTGGTTTCACGAGGCACGTGAAGATCTACAGCAGAGCGCGGAAGAAAATGGCTGGCAGGAGTGTTTCGAAAAGGACGGGTGACTGGAGCCACTTGAATGCTGACGAAGCAGGAGCTATGCGCAGGCTCTATGAGACAGAGGCCTCGATGACGTGGAGAGCGGGTTTTAAGGCGATCTGGGAAGACGGCGGTGTTGCTTTCCAACCTCCATAAAAGGATAAGGGGGGCTCTGGTTGCTTGGATACTTGTAACCTCCTCATGCCCTCCTAGCATCAGTTACGACTGCGGATGTATGTATGCTGGTAGTGTACTTATCTCCACCAAAAAAAAAAAAAAAAAAAAAAAAAAAGGAAAGTCTTTGTCCAACCATCCCCTGGATTCCCACCCACTTCCCTACTCAGCCCTTCAGCAGCATCGATCCTATACAGCAAACATGCACCATCGTCCCACCCCTCAAACCGCTGTAGGCTCTTGCATCCAGGTAGCAGTTGAGCCAATAGACTTCTCCCATTTGTCTGGTCATCAGCTCTATCTTCCACAGGCGTGCCCTCCTTACCCAACGTCAACCCACCTCCTCTCACCACGACTATCTCATCTCGTCCATGCTTCCTCCTTCCCAAGCCTTCTCCGCCATCGTCCCCTCTCAGCCCATTCTCAAACAGTCCCACGACGTCGGGGCCAATGCTGTTGAAAAACAGCCCCTCCAGGCCACAAGGCCAGAGCACACCCGAGCGGAGATCTGCAAGATTTACAGGGGGCCAGCCTACAGCGTGGAAACAACGCAGGCCCTGCCAAGCACTCAAGTCCAGCGATGTTTCATTCCGCCACTCAAGGGCCTTGACGGTCGCTATCACACTGGGAGGGAAGCATGCCGCTTTCTCTGGCTCCATGTTGGTGCAGAGGGAATCAAGCGAGGTGAGGTGAGGTGCGTGAAACGCCCACTCGCAGGTCCAGTCGGTGTCAAGGTAGAGAGATGTCAGATGCGCGGGGCACGTGGGGAGCAGGAGTAGGCGGGAGTGGCGTGCCCGCCAAGTAAAGCCGAGGTCGGAGAGACGAGGGGCGGACAGTGAAATGGAGCAGTTGATACTGTCGAATCTGACGTTGGTGGCCAGCGGGAGGTGAAGAAAAAAGGAGTTTCGTCCGTCAATGTCCCTCTCACGCCCCCTCCACCCGTCCGCGTTCCCCGTACCACTTTCAGCGCCCTCATTTCCCTCCTGAGCTGCAAATTGATCGGCAGACGCAACGAGGTAGAGTGTATGAAGCTGGGCAGAGAGACAGGAGACGAAGCGCAGGACGAGAGGCGAGCAGGCGGGGAGAGAGAGATCGAGGCGAGACAGCACGGGAAATGGCTTCTCCTTGCCATCCGGCTTCCTTATCTCCATAGATTGTAATTATTTCCCACATCTCGCCACCATCACTGCATCATTGCAGCCGTGCCGCGCCAACTCGTGCTTGCTGTCTGTCCGCACGGTGCCATGAGTAAGAGAAAGCAACTTCAGGCGCGGCGCTTGAGAGAGAGAGTAGAGAAGGCGCGGAGGCGAGGGGAGGCGTCGGGAGAAGTCGATAGTGAGAGAGGTGAGGGAGGAGAGGTAAGGGAAGACGCAGGAGTGTAAGAGGGAGCAGAAGAGCCGGGGGGGTGAAGTGTCAAGAGATACGTAGAGCTCGGAGAGACGCGGGTGCTGTTTGGTCAGCCATGCGAAGCTGCGAATTCGTTGAGCGAGGGAGATGGAGGGAGTTGAGCACGGGCATTTCTCGTAAAACATGAGAGCCACGTCGTCTGATAGAGCGCGTCGAATGCACGGCATGGCGATGGCACACGACACGAGCGGCCACGAGCAGTAGCACTTTCCTCTGTTCGAATTCGCGACCGCGTTTGCGATGCGCCGCCACACGTCCGTGGGTAGCGCGTTGAGGTCACCGTATTGAATCTCCGCCTCTAGATCACCGTATCGTATCTCCGCCTCGGGCTGGCTTACGCGGGCTCGCTGCGACACTGCTGCGTGCACTCCGCTTTTCGATCTCTTTGCGGGGGGGAGGTGACAATGGCCGGCTCCTCCGCTACTCGCCCCTCATCCTCCCCTCGCTCAGCCGCCTCTCCCTCCTCTTCTTCTCTTTCGACCAACTGCTCACATAGACTAGCTCTCCCCCTTGACGTCATTCCGATCCGTGCTGTTTTTCCTGCTAGCCAAATCCGCGCCACCAGCCGCGTCACACCAGCGATGTTTATTGTCAATAACTATCGTTCACGATGGGCCGATATTCCTGATTCATCTTCCTCTGCTGGGAAAAAGTCCCTCTCCCGATTGATAGGTACGACAGCTGAAGTACTTCAAACAGTAGGAACAAGGTGAGAAAATGGTTTGTTTCGAATGGTGAGGAAGTGTGTCCTCTAGCCCCCCTGGCCTGGCTGAGATCACGGTTGTGAAGTTTGCCCGCCACCGCCATCCTCATACTACGATGGTGTCAGGCACCTGGATTTATTTTCTCCCCGCACTGTCAATACGATTGGGAGGGAATCTGGGTTGCTGTGTCGGTGCGATGCGACTAGTGGTGGCTTCTCCGTGGGAATTCACGAGGTGGGTGTGATTCCGCCTATTACACCCCGCTTTAGGAACTCATACACCATTAACTGTATTGATATTATAGAATGGATATACGAATTTCACTCTGGTAACATACCTAGCATGACTTCAAATATATTCATCACATACCAGGCCTCAGTTCTATTTATTTGACACAGAGCATTATTCCACAATCTACATGCAGAATTCCAGCACACCTAATCCACGATTCCTCTCGCTTTTAGAAACCTACTTTTGTTCGTCCAACACAGTCCTACACTTCCACCCACTTCCCTACTCAGTCCTTCAGCACCATCCAGCCTGTACAGCACACGCTCACCACAATCCCACCCCTCAAACCGCTGTAATCCGTTGCATTCAGGTAGCAGTCGAGCCAATACCCTACCATTAGCCTGAACCATATCCCTGCTTCCGTCCTCCTCGGGCCCACCTTCCACTGTTCTCTGAGCTATGTCATCTCGGCTTCTCAACGTGCCCTTCCTTCCATGCCTCCTTCCCAAACTATCTCCCCCATCATCCCCTCTCAGCTCACTCGTGAAAAGCTCCACAACATCGCTCCCAATTTTATCGAAAAACAGCCCCTCCATGCCACAAGGCCAGAGCACACCCGAGCGAAGCACCGACAGAGACACAGGGTCCCATCCCATGGCATGGAAGCAACGCAGGCCGTGCCAAGCACGCAGGTCCAGCGGCCGCAACACCTTAACATATCTCCACTCAAGGGCCTTCACTGTAGCTAGAACACCGGGAGGGAAACAAGCAGCCTGCTCTGGCTGCATGTTGGTGCAGAGGGATTCAAGCGACGTGAGGGAAGGCGCTTGCAACGGCCACTGGCAGGGTCCGTCCGAGCTAAGGAAGAGAGACGGCAGGTGCGCGGGACATGTGGGAAGCAAGAGCAGGCGGAAATGGGGAGACTTCCAAAGCAAGGAGAGGGCGGACATACGAGGGGCGGAGAGGGAAATGGAGCAGCTGATTCCGTGGAATCGGGCATTCGTGGCTCGCGGGAGGTGAAGAGTGAGGTAGTTTCGTCCGTCGATGTCCCTCTCACGCCCTCTTGGCCCTTCCGCGTTCGCATCCCTTTCAGCCTCCTCTCTGCCCTCCTGAGCCGCGAACTGATCCGCACCGCCAAGAGAGAGATAGTGCAGCTGTGAAGAGATGCAGGAGACGAAGCGCAGGACGAGAGGCGAGCAGGCGGGGAGGTCGAGATTGAAGTGTCGCAGCACGGGAAACGACCTGTCCTTGTCACTCGCCTTCTCCTCTTCCATTATTGAAACTATTTCCCACATTTCCGCCACCATCACGGGATCGTTGCAGTGGTGCCGTGGCATGTCACTCTCGCTGTCCGACGCAACATCATGCGTAAGAGAAAGCGACTCGAGGCGCGGCGCTTGCGAGAGGGAGAAGAGGAGGCGCGGATGGGAGGGGAGGCTTCGGGGGAAGTAGAGATCGAGGGAGGTGATGGTGGAGAGGGAAGGGAACAGGCAGGAGCGCATGAGGGAGGAAAGGAGGCGGGGAGGCGCTTCATTGATTGAGAAGATGAGATCCGAAGGGCTTTGGTGCTGCTTGATCAGCCATGCGAAGCTGCGGATTCGTTGAGCGAGGGAGACGGCGGAGGGAACGCACTCGCATTTTTCGTAGAAGACGAGAGGCTCGTCCCCCGATAGTGCGCGTCGCACGCACGGCAAGGCGATGGCGCACGACACGAGCGGCCACGAGCAGCAGCAGTCGTCTCTCTCCACTACCTCATTTGCGATGCGCAGCCACACGTCTGCGGGTAGCGCGTCTAGGTCACCGTATCGAATCTCCCTCACGGTGTCGACGGCTCGGCGCGCCACTGCTGAGCGCACTCCACGTTTCGATCGCTTCGCACTCGGAGGAACGGCCATGGACGGTCCCTGCCCTGCTCCTTCCTTCTCTTGTACTTCCTCCTCCAACTGCTCGCCTGTAGTGGTAGCTTTTCCCCTCGCCTTCATCTTGTTCCGCGTTTCTCTCTTGCGAGTCATATCCTAGTCACGAGCAGCGTCGCACTCGCGATGTATGTCGCCAAATGACTATCGGTTCAATACGGGCTGAGTTTTCTGGTCTGAGCTGGAAAAAACAGCTGCTGTATCATTGCGTGCGAGGGACAGGGTATGAAGTGAAAGCACGGATGACTGTATGAAGTGAAAGCACAGCTGTATCAACGATGCTTTTTTTTTCGCCAAGACCGAAGCGTGCACGATTCTGCTCGTGCACTGCTGTCGCGGAAGCTGTCGGAACTTGTGCAATGGGGTAACAAGCCCGAGTTCGTCAACGGGAAGATTTTGGACATAGGAAAATGTTCAACATTCGATTCGCCAGCATTGGTGTTGACGAACGAACCGTTCGCACAGATTGGTGGGCTCCATTGGCTTGTATTGTACGCATCAATTTAGGGCACGCACCTTGGCTCGAAAATTGGGTTCAACGTGGTAGAATACGGTTCAAGGAACCAACAGTCTGTTTCAGTAAGGTGACTGTTCAAGATTGTTAGCCATACAAGCTTCTTGTGTACCCATGCCCTACCTACAACAGATGGCCTCGCACTGGCATAACACAACGTACATAAGAGATTTAACTACTTTTGTCTGTCAGAAGGAAGTTAGAACGCCTCTATGGTTTACACTAATCTAAAAAAGGCCACATTACCTCCGTCCAAATGGGCTTGGCTTGGCGGCAGGGGAGGCAGTGCCGAGTCTTCTACCTCCTGCCATCATGGGACTGCTAGCACCGCTCATGGGGCTGCTGCTCACTGCTCTCCCTTTCATCTGAGGTGACCTCTCTGCCTCATTCCCCAATGCAGAAGCAGCGCCTGGCTTGGTAGGGCTGGCTGGGATCAGTGCAGCAGCAGGAGCTTCAGTGGATTGAGTGTCGACTCCATTCCCCGTCCCACCCAAGGCCCTGCGTGGTTCAGAACGGGGCAGGCGAAAAAAAGCAACGATAATTTTATAAAAAGCCTGCTCTCCACACCTCAAACCGCAGGAGCCTGACACCTAGGAGAGCATTTGTACACACCCAGACTCCACCCACAAGGGGTTCCAATGATGCACTCAAGCGACCCTACTGGGACACAAAACATTCAACAAACCATTAGAATTCTTGCCACGTACCGCTTGAGCTGGTCCTTGTACTTGTGGTTGGTCTCCATGGCCTCTGCCAGCTCTGCCTCCAACAGTGCCATGCGCTCCACCATGCCACTGCCCCCCGCTGTGCTGCCCCCCCCCCGCATGCGCTGCGACAGCTTCTTCTGCAGCCTCGCCACCTCCTGTGACCGTTGGGGCAGTGGTGGAGGGCAGTGGGAAAGGGAAATTGAGGAAGAATGGGCATAAGGGATGTTGGACGGTGGATGGTAATGTGGTGCATGACGTGCGGCATGTCGAACACACACGGGCTACACCAGGCCACTGCAACATCACCACATGGCCTAAACAACAGAAGGAACAAGAAAAGCACTTCTAAAGGAGAATGGGTGCCTTCGCTTAAGGCTCATAATGAATGGGAGCCGTTTTTCCATGCGCATCAAGGGTAGGATGCGGGTGCGCACCTCCTTAAGCTCCAGGATGGTGGCGTCGTGCACCGCTGCTGCTGCCCTCAGCTCCGCCTCCCTCTCCCTCACCTCGCCCACCTGCTGCTGCGCCTTCAGCAGCTGCATTTGAGGGGAATGGTGTGGAATGGGGTGCACAGGGAAGACACACGTGGGATGGCAGATGAGCCGCTTCAGAAAGCAGGGACGGCGGACGTGGGATGCGGTGTGGGATCGGTGCGCGGGGGCATTGCAAGCATTGACAAGTGAGGTGCTCGTGAGCAGTGCACTGCGGGTCCCGTGCATGATAAGCACGCAAGGGAGTGTGATGAGATGAGAGAGTCCACACGCCAACGTTGTGATGGCAACACCGCACTCACCGCTTGGTTGAGGTGCATGGTAGCAGTGTCGGTGCCGGCAGCCAGAGAGTCGTTGGTGGCGGTGAGCAGTGCCACGTACTCCCCCCCATGCTGCCCTCCCTCGCCCCTTGGTTGACATGCATATTGACCCGCAACAACCACCACGGCAAGGCACTCACCGCTTGATTAAGCTGCATGGTAGCAGCGTCGGTGCCGGCAGCGAGAGAGTCGTTGGTGGCGGTGAGCAGAGCCACGTACTCCCCCATGCTGCCCTCCCTCGCCTCCGCCACCGCCCTCTGCTGCTCCACCTGCTGCTGCAACACCTCCACCTGCGCCTGTAGGGACGGGAGCGAGAAAGAGCGACCAACAGGCAAGGACCCCATGGGAGCGTCACACTGGAGTTATCAGTAGGGTGTGTTTGAAGCCGTTTGGGAATGAACGGGGTGCTTCGCATCGACTTTGAGTCACCTGTGGTCGCAAAGCGTTCGGGTAGTAACACGAGCAAGCAATCAGCGTGAAAACAGCGTTCAGCCAAAAAAACTGGGTCAAGGGGGCATGCCTCACATCGAGCCACAGAGGCACAGCTCACCTCAAGAGTCTTGATTCGCTCCTCTGCTGCAGCATCCATGTCCCCCACCCGCGCCCCTGCTCCCCCACCCCCCCCACTCCCCTCCAGCTCCAACAACCGCCTCTCAGCAGCAGCGAGCGCCTCTGCCTTGCGCCCCACCTCGCCCTCTAACGCCACAGTGCGCCGCCTCAGCTCCTCCACCTGCTTCTCCAATGCCGCCTCTCCGCCTCCCCCCCGCGACGCCATGATCCCCCCCATCCGCCCGCGGGCGAACGCTCCGCCTGCTCCCCCCCCTCCGCCCATCCCCCCCAAGCCCCCCGCCCCTCCGCCCAGAGACCTGCTGCCCTTGCCCTGGGGGGAAGGCTCCATCCCACCACCACCGGCACCGCCAATGCTGCTACCCTCGGTGAGTGCTCGCTTGAGCTCCGCGTTTTGCTGCTTCAGCTGCCGCACCTCCTCCACTAGCGCCTCTGCTTTCGCCGCTGCCGCCGCCGCCGCTGCCTCTGCAGCCACTGTCGCTTCTGCCGCAGCCGCTTTCGCAGCCGCCGCCGCTGCATCACCATCCCCCTCACTCTCACCCCCACCCGCCACCGCCGCAGCCGCCGCAGCAGCAGCCTCCATCTCGCCCACCCGAGCCTCCAGCTCCGCGGCCCGACCCTCCAGCTCCCTCACCCGCCCCTGCAGCTTCTCCCGTTCCTCCATCAACCCCGGCACCTGCTCAGCCTGCTTCGCCAGGTGTCCCATCTCGCCCTCCACAGACGCACTCCTGGCCCGCAAATCCTCCAGCTCCTCCATACTCTCCTCTATCCGCGCCAGCTTCATCGCCAGAGCCAGCCTTCTCTCCTCCAGCACCTGTCTCTCCGTCCTGGCCTGGGCCAGCTCCCCCTTGACTCGCTCCAGCTCCTTCACCTTGCCCTGCAGCACCACGCTCTGCTGCACCAGCCCCTTGCGCTCCTGCTCCAACTCCTCCCGCGCCACCTGCAGCTCCTTCACGGAAGCTTCCGCCTTGACGAGCTGCGCTGCGACCTGCTCGTGCTGCTCCCTCACGCGAGTCAACTCCGCCGCTGCCTCTGCTGCTGCCGCCACTTGTCTCTTGAGCTCCTCTACCTCTCCCAAGAGTGACCCCTCCTTGACCTTTGATTCTGCCGCCGATTCTTTCGCCGCCCGCACTTCCCCTTCCAGCTTCACCTTTTCTCTCACCGCCTCCCGCAGATCCCCTTCCACACGGCGCAATTTGTCTTCTAGCTCGCCCTTTGCCGCCCGGAGCTCCGCAGCCTCGACCGCAGACAGCCTGTCGCCGCCCTCGCCCGCACTCCCCCCCTCAGATAACGCCGACAGCTGCTGAGTCAGCAGCGCCACCTCACTGGTCAACCGCTCAACCGCCGCTTCCCTCTCGGCCTTCTCCCGCCTCTGCCCCTCCTCCGCCCTCACAGCCCTTGCCACTGCACTCTCCCTCTCCGCCTCCCCCACTTCCAATCTCGCTTCCATCTCCTCCACCAATCTTCTCGCCTCCCCCACCTCCCTCTCCGCCTCCTCCCTCGCCCTCCCCACCGCCGCCTCACTCTCCCCAACCCTCCCCTCCACCTCCCTCCTCTTCTCCTCCTCCTCCCTCACCCGCCCCTCCAACCGCTCCCTCTCCCGCTCCGCCTCCTTCACCTTCCCCTCGACCACAGCCACATACCGCTCCAACGCCTCCTCCCGCGCAGCGCCCTTACTCACCTTCGCCTCCAGCTCCCCCACGAGCCCCCTCTGCGTCTCCGCCCTGTCCACCGCCACTGCCAGCTGCGCCTCCACCTCCGCCTGCCTCTCCTCCGCGCGCCGCCGCCCCACATTCGCCTCCTGAAGCTCACTCTCCAGCTTGCCGCACGCCCCTTCCAGCCGCAGCACCTTCATTTCAAGCTCTCGCCGGCTCACACCAGCCAGCGCCAGCTCCCCAGACATGCGCTTAATCTCCTCCTCCAACCCCTCCACCCTCCTCCGCGCGTCCTCCAACTCCCTCTCCGCCCTCCCTGCACCAGCCCCCGCTGCCCCCGCTCCTGCTCCCCCGCCCGCCCCTGCCCTCCCCACTGCTTCCGCCGCAGCCGCCGCTGCAGCAGAATCCGCCGCAGCGGTAACCGCGGCCAGCGCCACCTCTAGCTCCGCCTCCTTCTCCCTCGCCCGCTCTTCCAGCCCCCTCACCTGCCCCTCCAGCTCATGAATCCGCCTCCTCGCCTTCTGATTCGCCGCCTGCAGCGCCTCCACGTCAGCAAGCGTCACTCCACCCAAACCGCCCCCAGCAGCAGCCGCCCCCGCCTCCGCCTTGGCCTCCTCCAGCATCTCCTGCATGGCCGATAGCTGCAACTCCACCTCCTGAACCCTCGACTCAGCCAACCGCCTCTGCTCATCTAACCGCCTCACCTGCTTCTCCAGCGCCCCTCTATCCGACCGCCACGCCCCGGAGGTCGACTCTACCTCGTGCACCCGTGCTTCACTCTCCCTCACCTGCTCCTCTAGCGCCTCTCTCTCCCGCTCCAGCTCCCCCACGCGCTGCTGCCA